TGGAGTGCGGTATGGACTCCCTAGCGACTATATATTGGAGGGCTATTGAGGCCTGGCAGATCACGCTCCGTGTGATAGAGATGGACCTAGGGGTACGGCTAAGGTGGTTAGGGCCTGCTCGGGACCCCTGGAGAAGAAGATGTTCAATTAGGTTCCAAGTAGAGATGTGATGTTATTCCCCACTTTCCGATGTGTTGTCCATTTCAAACTCTTTGTGTTCTTTTGATCTCTTCTGAGATGACTGAAAGATGTGCTTGCTGTGAGATGTGCCTTGATCACCCTAAAATCATAGCCTTAAATAAATAAATTTGTTATTGGCAACCATTGCTACTGTTTCTTTTATAGTAACATCAGAAAACCTGTCTAAATTAAGCTGAGATGGATTATTTGGAATCTGGAATTTTCCTCAGTATAAAAGTGAGGAAGGAATAGGTTCTTTTTGCCAAGGTCAAAGTCAGTAAACTCCGGCCTGGTTGCACTGATGTGGGTCCCTGGATGAGCCTGGCCAGGGTGATCTGTCTCTGTCTTTCTACAGTGAGAAGAGTCCCTGGGACGGTGTCTGGCCTCTTTGCCTGCTGATTGCATCTAAGGGTACTAGTGCTGGGAGACGTAATTTCTTTTTAACTTCTTCACATTTATTGTAATTATAGATTAGAATTAATCTATGTACTTCTCTAATGTAATTGAAAGTTTACAAACCACATTTTTTTTTTGTTCACTCCTTCTTGGATCTTTTGATTTATGCCATTATCTATCATTGATGGATGTTTTACAATTTTTATGATGTTCAATTAATCCACCGGTGGGTACTCCCTGTCCCTTTACCTGCCTCATCTGGAGAATCTAATTTTCTCTGCTGTCCTCTTCTCCAGTATCACAATTGAAAGTTTTCAAAGCTTTTTCTCTAATCCTTCTTCATTCTGAAGAATGGGTCATCTACTCTCGTGGAATTACCTGCCTCTGAAAACCTGCTGGAGGGTCAGCTATGAGTTGATAACTTAAAGAGTAAAGATGTCAGTTAAAGATTAAGATGTGCGTGATCTAAGCTATGGCCTTCTCACTTGTTTGCTATGCCTCTGAAAGTTGGGTAATGAATAAGGTAGGTGCAAGAACAATCAATGCCTTTGCGTTGTAGTGTTGGAGAAGAGCACTGGATATCCCCTGGACTACCAAGGTCTGTTCAGAGAACATTAAACCAGGGTGCTCCCTGAATGCAGAGAGTGAAACTCCATCTCACATATGCTGGGCATGTTGCGAGGAGGCCATCAGACTTACCAAGGTGGAGGGTCGCTCTAAGAGAGGAAGACCGTCAAGAAGATAGATTGATGTGGTTACTGTAACAACAGGGTCAAGCGTGTCACAGTGTGAAGAGGGCAAGGTTCAGATATGCTGTTCAAAGGGTTGTGGTAGGCCGCCGTCAACAGCACAGGACAGAATTTTCTAGCCTTGGTGATGGGACGCTAGCAGTTGACACTTCAACTGTGAGCCCGTCGAACTTGCACTGAATCACAGACTCTTATTTCCTCGTCTGCTCTCCCTCTTTCCGTGATGTGTTGAATCGAAGCTCTCCCCTTGTCAGGACTAGAACCAGTAAGATGGGGGTGGGGAAAAGGTCAAGGTCAATACAACATGAGCCGTCAGAGCCAGGACGCCGACACTACCACGTGGAGAATCAGTGTTTTACGCACCTGAGTGCCATCAGAGAACCGTGGACGGGATGAGAACCATCTCACTGGCCCCGATTCCAG